TCTCTCTCTCTGGTCAAATGAAAAAATAACTATCAGTAAAATTAAAGTTATAAAAAAAATGATTCTTTAAAAAAAAATAAAATGTGAAGGCTACTACTTTTTCTGGCAGGTATAATTTGTTAAAGGGTTGTATAATTTAGGCCTTTCTTCTAACCTGTGCGTTTTTAATGATAATGGATGATGAGTTCATTCCGGCCCATCGTCCAGTTGCAAGCACAAGCTTCATTTGGCTAAACGCAGAGAAACTGACTGGCCTGGCCACGGCCTTTAGAAATGTGTTCCACTTCGGGCAGCGAAGCAGCTGGGCAGGGACTGCTGAGAGCAAGGAGTGACGGGGGTGAGTTTAAAGCAATGAAACGGCGAGTTACTAAATCATCACCACGTCGTTAATGGCTCCTATCCCAGCAGTAAACGAAACACTGGGGGTGGGCTGCTCTCTACTTGCGTCCTTAGCGAGGACTTCTGAGAATCACCAGTTGTTAGGAGCTTATTCATCAGACACCAGGTACTTAGCATCTTACAATTAAGGCATATTGAAGAGCCGTGGGGAGACCAGTGCAGGGAGAGATTTGTCCTGTGGGTGTGTGTGTATTGGAGGGAGGGGAGTTGGTTGGGGTGGAGAAAAGGCTAAGCAGTCTTCCCAGAGGAGCAGATTTTATTGATTTATTGGGTTGTTGTTGAAGTTATGATGTATTTTTTCTGTTTTTCTATGCAAAAATGCACCATGACTTTCCCGACAAAATGCTACATATTTATTTTTTTAGGTTTGTGCACTTGCTGGAGAGAGCAAGAGGGAAAGTGTAAAATCATCCCCCCCCCCCCCCCCGCACACCACAGGCCCGTCTCCTCTATTCTCCTCTCGGGAGTTTGAGCATGCATGCACACGCACCCTGAGTGATTTTTTTAAGCCACCTGATCCAGTACTTGAACTGCCATATGGGAGCCAAGCACCTTAACCACCATGAGGTTGATCTGTGCAGGTCCACTTATACACACAGTTTTTCAATAATTACTGAAAATGTATCTTGTTTTTCTTATGATTTTTCTTAATAACATTTTTTCTAGCACACTTTTTTTGTAAGAATATAGTATATAAAACATACAACATACATTAATTAATGGCTTATGTTACTGGTACAGCTTCTAGTCAACAGCAGGTTATTAGTATCACACTTTGGGGAAGTCACAGCTTATGTAGATCTTTGACTGGTAGGCACCCCTCACCTTGGCATTCAACTGAAATCTTGCTAGTAGAGATGACTGGGATGTTGTTGGGCAGAGCAAAAACATTCCGTAGCAGAGGAGACTGCATTTCGCTGTCAGAGGGCGTGAAATGGGAATGGCCAGTTTGGAGACGGGTAAGAAGACTGCTTTGGCAAAGTGTAAAGGCACGACCGGTAACGAGCCGAATGTGTGCTTATGGTGCAATCTGGAAAGGGCCTGCTAAGCACATTATTTCAGGGGTGATCTTACAAGCAGGGAAGTGCCAGGAGTGAGTTCCTGTAGGTGAGAAATATGATCATAGCTTTGTTTTGAGCAATCCTGGGTGTGAGGTAGAGAATTAATTCGGAATAGAGAGCTCTTGGAGAAAAGAAGTACAATTCTTGTCACATTGACCTGAAGAGTTAAGAGGGGACTTAATTAACTTTGGAGGTTGGCAGTGAGAAGGAGAAACAGGGGAGCAGACTGGAGAACATTTTACAGAAGGAGAGATGGTAGGATTTAAAGATTGGACCCGGATATTGAGTGAAAGAGTAATGGTGAAATTTTAATGACTTTCATAGGGTCAGGAAGGAGGCCTGAAACAGAATTCAGGGAGAGCGAGGAGTCTTTAGAGGGGAAGATAATATTGACTCATGGCATTTAAGGGGGTTTGCCTATCCACATGCAGCTGCCTTGGAGGCAGCTCTCGATGTAAAGCTCAGGAGCAGGTGAGTATGAGCTGAGTACGTATGAAGCCGGAACACAGTAATGATTGAAACAACTGGGAAACACTAGAGGTGTCCTGAGTAACACCTATGTAAAAAGCCAGGGGATGAACAGAAGAAGTAGCCAACTAGACTAGAGAAAAATGAGAAAGAAGTAATATTGCGAGAACCAATGGTAAAAAGAGGGGATTTTTTGTGTTTTTTTTTTTTTTTTCCACTTTTCATTTGCTGGTTCTGGTCTCTGAACTTAGCCTCTATTCATTCTTCTTTTTTAAAATTTTTATTTATTTATTTTTAATTAATTTATTTTTTATATACATTCGATGACATTGTTTAGCTTATGAAGGGAACATTTGAAAACCTGTGGCACATAAAAAGAGTTTTAATTAAGAGAGAGTGGTTACCAGTGCAGAGGGCAATGAGACATCCAGAAAGATTACTCTCAAAAACCAAGTCAGTGGGTCAGCACTCAGGCGGCCAATGGCAACTTTATAGACTCTTCCAGAAGAGCGTTGTGGGGATGGAAGCCAGATTACAGTGTGATAGAATGTGGTCAGGAGATGGTGGAGTGGAAATATTTTCTTTGAATTATTTTCCTATTAAAATAGTTCACCATTTCATCTATTTTCTGGTCTCTTACTCATGGTGATATAGGATAAGTACATATATATATACTGCAGTCCCCTCTTCTCCATTCTTCTGGGATTTTGGTCATGTACGCACACATACCCAGCGAGATTTTCAAACCCCCAGGTCTGGGATTTGAACCGCCTTTGGCCACATGAGAGTCCATTGCCTCAAACAACCATGCCACCTGCCAATTAAAACAACAACAATAACAACAACTGGCATTTACAAAGAGTACAAGCCTTGGGTGCTGAAGAAATGCTCCTCTTCTGAAAGCTAACTGATCTTGACAGTGTTTGTTTCCTATCTCCATCTGCCAGTTAGAACCTTACTTTGATCATCCGAGGAAATGGGAGATTTAGGCTCACAGTGTGGAAATTGAGAAGGCTCCATTAAATGTAGCTATCGGGTTGTCACATCATGACTTTTCTGACAACCCAGTGCTTATAGAATTCTTAAACTGAACAGTGTGTTGATTAGGTATGAATCCTAAACAATCCCCCTTCTGAACTCACTGTCTCCCTCCTTTCCTATCAATCCCTTTAGGCCACCAATGATTTTATTTAAATTAACGATTAACTAAGTTAGGTAGGACAGAACTCAATAACAACAGAACAGAGGGCAGAGAGGACAAAACACTAATTTCTCCCCACTTTTGCCTGTAATTCATTCTGTGCTGAGCTACCAGGACTACCCACTCCAATGGTTAATCAAACTACTGGATTGTCATAAAAGTCATGCAACATATTTGCATAGAAAATTATGTCCTGACTTTCCTGACAATGTAATATTTAACTTAGAACAACTGCTGAAAATATCTCCCTCTTTTCTACCCTGAGAATAAATTCCCAAGAGAAACTAAGTTATCTGTGCCCAAACTGTAAAATACAGCCTTCTAAGTTAGAAATTTTGAATAAAGAGAATGGGCTCTTTGGATAAACCATATTTCTAATGAAGTACAATTGATTCCCCCAGTACTGATTTTACTGCCAAATTTCCTCATCTGTTTCTGAGTGTTAAATATATTGGTATCTGGGAACCAGCAGTTAGCATAATGGCTATGTCGCTGGATTCCCACGTAGTCGACCGTGGTTCGAGTCCTGGACCCGGTGGCTTAAACTCACGCCGGGCGTGTGTGCATGCGTGCCCAAGATCCCGCCGAGAGGAGAATGGAGGAGAAGGAATTGTGGCGTGGTCATCCCCCCTGGGGGGTGATTTCTCGCTTTCTGTCTCTCTGTCTCTCTCTGTCTGTCTGGC